TGTTCCTGGCTGCAGGAATCGGACAAACATGGGACACATGATTCTGTATCAACTCAGGGAAGAACAGAAAATGTTGGTTCCTTCTAGCAGTAAACTCCAGATGAGGAGCCAAAATCTCCACCGAGGTGCCACAAACATATTGTCACATCCAGAGAGAGTATTTTTACCCAGGTTTCTGAACTACTTTTATTTGCTGTTACAGGAGCAATCTGTAATGGATCTTCTGGCACTTCTTGCAGTGCCAATGATAGAATATAAAGTGTCTTCACTTAGATTTCAACTTACATTTTCGGAGAGGCAACTGATCTGCTTTACAATTAATTTGTCAAATGTATGAAAAAATACTTTATTCAAACACAATGTTTTTTACGAAAATAGAACCATCTCGAGGAATGAATCAGTCTAAGCACTTTCTTGTTAGTTATATTGCTGTTTCTCATTTGCAGGAAAAATGATCAGAAGAAGGACCATAAATCAGCCATTTCAGGGTGATGGGAGACCTTGTCCCTCTCAGATGGAGCAATTCAAACCCTGTCCAGTAAAACCCTGTTATCGATGGCAATACGGTCAATGGTCTGCGTGCAAAGTAGAGGTAAAAGCCATATGGGATGCTGAAGTTATGCAGCTTGTATATCTAGGCACATTTGTGATGTGTTCAGATACTTGTGTAAAAACTGTAAAAAATTTGCTTCTGCCTCTCTTATACAAAAACTAAAGGTTTATTTTTAGATAATAAATAAGATAATAATATTTTATTTTATGATATCAACAGATATAAGAATGTCCTACAGATATTCAAAGTATAAATGTAAACTTTGGCACCTGAGCAGCATCTTTGCTAATAGTTGAAATCCTTCTATTGTAAAAGAACTTCTGTGGAAATAAATTGGCATCCTAGAAGAGAACTCTGCTTGAGATACTGCTGTAGTTGCAATTCAAAGGCATAATTAGCTCCATACTTGAGAAATAGTCATAGCAGCCAAAAGAGCTTTTGGTTTTGTTTGTTTGTTTCTGAAGCAAAGAACAAAGTTTTTTTGTTTTTTGTTTTTTTTTTTAATTTTATTTTATTTTCCCCCTACTGGAGTGAATAAGTCATTAAGCAAAAAATAATGGGAAACAGAGTGGCATGTAAGTCAGATCTAGTCTTTTGAAACTTTCTTCTGTCCAGCATCCATGTATGTCCTCCTTCCCCAGGATGCTCAATGTGGAGAGGGAACACGAGTGAGGAACATTTCCTGTGTGGTTTTTGATGGATCCGCTGAAGATGTTGGCAAAATAGTGGATGAGGAATTCTGTGGAGAAATAGAGCCTATTATAGATGGTAATAAGAAGATGATACTTGAGGAAACCTGCACTGTCCCTTGTCCAGGTAACAAAGCTATTCAAATAAGTGTGGCATTTCAGGATTCGTTGGGTATCATTACAGTTATCAGTGCCTAGCATTAGCCACAGGCAATTAATTTTTTTCACATGCTTTACTGATTGGATTAATCCATCAAATGACCAACAGTCTCACTTTCAGGTAGTGGCTTCATGACAATATATCAATTTAAAAAATACCAGGTTTTAAATTTTATAAAAGACACGTCTCAGTCACAGATTGTGATCTCAGTTATGCTGGGTAGCCTGCTACTCATGGTTGAAGAGAAGATTAATGTTGGATAAGCCTATTGTATTTTAATTTTCTTTGGGCCTAAGTGAAGCATCCTCCATCCCCTGTGAAATGGGCACATCACGTTATCCAGACAGACAGTGAGGGAAAGGGGCAAGTTGTTCCTGGCTGCAGGAATCGGACAAACATGGGACACATGATTCTGTATCAACTCAGGGAAGAACAGAAAATGTTGGTTCTTTCTAGCAGTAAACTCCAGATGAGGAGCTGAAATCTCCACCGAGGTGCCACAAACATATTGTCACATCCAGAGAGAGTATTTTTACCCAGGTTTCTGAACTACTTTTATTTGCTGTTACAGGAGCAATCTGTAATGGATCTTCTGGCACTTCTTGCAGTGCCAATGATAGAATATAAAGTGTCTTCACTTAGATTTCAACTTACATTTTCGGAGAGGCAACTGATCTGCTTTACAATTAATTTGTCAAATGTATGAAAAAATACTTTATTCAAACACAATGTTTTTTACGAAAATAGAACCATCTCGAGGAATGAATCAGTCTAAGCACTTTCTTGTTAGTTATATTGCTGTTTCTCATTTGCAGGAAAAATGATCAGAAGAAGGACCATAAATCAGCCATTTCAGGGTGATGGGAGACCTTGTCCCTCTCAGATGGAGCAATTCAAACCCTGTCCAGTAAAACCCTGTTATCGATGGCAATACGGTCAATGGTCTGCGTGCAAAGTAGAGGTAAAAGCCATATGGGATGTTGAAGTTCTGCAGCTTGTATATCTAGGCACATTTGTGATGTGTTCAGATACTTGTGTAAAAACAGTAAAAAATTTGCTTCTGCCTCTCTTATACAAAAACTAAAGGTTTATTTTTAGATAATAAATAAGATAATAATATTTTATTTTATGATATCAACAGATATAAGAATGTCCTACAGATATTCAAAGTATAAATGTAAACTTTGGCACCTGAGCAGCATCTTTGCTAATAATTGAAATCCTTCTATTGTAAAAGAACTTCTGTGGAAATAAATTGGCATCCTAGAAGAGAACTCTGCTTGAGATACTGCTGTAGTTGCAATTCAAAGGCATAATTAGCTCCATACTTGAGAAATAGTCATAGCAGCCAAAAGAGCTTTTGGTTTTGTTTGTTTGTTTCTGAAGCAAAGAACAAAGTTTTTTTGTTTCCCTACTGTAGTGAATAAGTCATTAAGCAAAAAATAATGGGAAACAGAGTGGCATGTAAGTCAGATCTAGTCTTTTGACACTTTCTTCTGCCCAGCATCCATGTATGTCCTCCTTCCCCAGGATGCTCAATGTGGAGAGGGAACACGAGTGAGGAACATTTCCTGTGTGGTTTTTGATGGATCCGCTGAAGATGTTGGCAAAATAGTGGATGAGGAATTCTGTGGAGAAATAGAGCCTATTATAGATGGTAATAAGAAGATGATACTTGAGGAAACCTGCACTGTCCCTTGTCCAGGTAACAAAGCTATTCAAATAAGTGTGGCATTTCAGGATTCGTTGGGTATCATTACAGTTATCAGTGCCTAGCATTAGCCACAGGCAATTAATTTTTTTCACATGCTTTACTGATTGGATTAATCCATCAAATGACCAACAGTCTCACTTTCAGGTAGTGGCTTCATGACAATATATCAATTTAAAAAATACCAGGTTTTAAATTTTATAAAAGACACGTCTCAGTCACAGATTGTGCCTAAGGAGAATATATTTTTTCACAAAATCTTTTGAAATAAAACCTGCATTTAACTCTATAAGAAAGAGTGTTGGTTTACAGCTAAATATTTGCTTTAAGTGCTTAGATCACCTAACAGGTTTATTAATATTTTTAACAGTGGCTAAGAACTTGATGCCTTTTACAGATGTCTAAGGAGGCTAGGCTAGGGAGTCCAATTTTTTTGTTTTAAGAGGCTATTTCAAAGGAAACTAGTATTTTGATCTCTGAGAAAATGTGTTTCTAGCTGTTTAACTTGCTGGATGTGACACGCACTATCATTGCCCTTGTAGACTTAATCCAAAGGAGCTGTTATAAATGATCAGGTCCATGACCCTCTTAGTGAGAAGGATTAAGAGCCTATAACAGCTGTTTAATTTCCAATAAAACCCCTCCAGTTAATTTCAAACACTTATTTGTAGAATTTGAAGTATATTGTTGTTGTTCAGTAGAGTCATTAGTGGTATATCTTCAAAAGTAGTAGTGATTAATTCCTTCAGTTCAAATGTAGCTATCATTCCACACCAGCACTCTCTTTTTGCTCTTTTGGAACTCCTCTTCCTCAGAATTTTTTCCAGTTCATTTCTGATTGGACTGCAGGTAGTTGCCCCAATAAATAGAAAAGAATCTAAAATGGAGAGGCCTCCATCACTGCTTTGTGCACAGCATTCCAATTGTGTGATTTTCCGATATTTTAACTTATTAAATTAAAATTGGAAGAATAAAACGTTTGTAGTTATGTTTTCTGTTTGTCAAATATACATTAAAAAAAAATGTAGCTGCTTACTGCTCACTTATAAATTTTGCTGAGCAGGAACCTCAACAATCTCACATTTAGCCAGCAAGAGTAACTGCCCTGTAGGGATGTGCTAATGATACGTTCCAACTAATGCTTCCAAAAATCACTACTTGTTTTCCTATTATGTATACATCAGTTCTTCAATTATTCATTTCTTTGCATGCTTTCCTAACGTTGGCAAATAAAATTCCTTCATTAATCAGGCATCTGGTCAACACAGTACTGATTATATCTGTCATCAGTATAATGCAAGGTAGCATGAATTTTTAATAGCTCTTTCACTGAAATAATGAGAACTAAGAGGTTTATTTATGAGTCTGTGCACAGTCTAATCCCATTTTGTACTGTAGTTTTAACAAAATGGTCTTTTTGTATTGTGCCTCAGATCTTCCTTAAATGTTCTTTAGCCAATCATGCTAATTAGTGTCATTGGTATAATTTTATTTTTCAGTTTTACACTGTAAGAAAACATTCTACAAATCTCTATTATGCTAACGTGAAATAGCCAGAGCAGACATTTTAATCACCTTCCCATTTCCCTTTCTTGCAAAGAATGTTCCAGCAGTTGTTTCTGCTGTCTGTTTGGAGAAATTCTGCATGAGAATAAGTAATAATTAATCTTTTTAAAACTAGAGAATGTTTTCTTGTTCTAAGATCAAAGAAGAATAGTGAACAAGAGATATAAATGTAACATAAGGTATACAGTGCACAATACCCTAAAATTCACAAAAATCCAAACATTGGGTGGTGTTATTCAGAAATGGGAATGCTACAGAACATTAGGGAATGCTTTAGAACAAATAGGCTTTTGTATAATCTTTTTATTACTATTTTGTTCTGAAAAGACATTCAGAGTGTGTCAAAATATTATAGTCTTTTAACTATAAGTCAAGTTTAAAAAGAGGAATGAAGGGAACTATAAAGAGAGAAAATTAAGAAACCAGATTTGGACAGTTTTTCTAAGACATATTCAGTGCAAAAAACTCTTCATGTGTGATGCTCATTCATCTTATGAAATTGCTATTTGACAGGGGACTGTTACTTGAGAGAGTGGTCAGAATGGAGCCTTTGTCAGTTGACCTGTGTTAATGGTGAGGATCTTGGCTTCGGAGGGATACAAGTCCGATCTCGGGCAGTGATCATTCAGGAATTAGAGAATCAACACCTCTGTCCAGAACAGGCTTTGGAAACAAGACCATGCAATGGTAAGTACCAAAATACACATAAGGTCACAACAAAAAACCAAACCGAAACAAAAAAAACAGAATGAAAATAGTTTTATTTTCTTTCTGTTCATGTTATCAAATTTAGGCAAATACAGATGTGAGAGATATAGAAGTGCACTTAAATTTTTGTTTTTCAAATAGCTGTAAACACAAAACCTTTCAGACGCTAGTGATCATATGCTACCACTTCCAACACAGTCTTTGGAGAACTGATGATCCTTTATTAATGATGAAATTTCTTTTTATGATATGGGAAAAAATAGTTGCCTTATCTGCTTGATAACGTTAATAAAAAGAAATCATTATGTTTTGATACATAGAATCATAGAATCGTCTAGGTTGGAAGGGACCTTAAAGATCATCAACCAAATTTAGATTTCTCTCTTCCCTTGGAATTGTTGTTATCGCATGACACTGACATTAAAAAAATCTCAGTCATGCTTACCATGGTACTGGACAAAGTATCTAAGAAATGTCATTTCCTGTACAGACATTTCTTGTCCATTCAGTTGCCAGACAGACCAGGCAAAAAAGAAACATATTTATAAGGGCCCTAAGGTGCAGAAGGACTTCATGATTTATCCCAGGCCATATGGGGGATGTACAGCAGAGCTGAGACATGAAGCCAGATGCAACCCAGGCCACTTCACCAAGCACTGGAGCATTGACTGAAGCTCAGCATTACCAGGAGAGGAACCTGACTCCTAAATGAGTTTTGTGCAACAGATGGGACACAATCATTATGAGGTTATTGGAAACATCTGTTTTGCCCAGTAACTGCATTAGGCTTACTCCACATGCAGTGTGTATGACCATTCC